GCCTCAAAAGTCTATTCGGTTCAAACTAATTAATCATAGAAAACTCAATTTTATATACTGCTATTTGGTCATGTTTACACAGAGCAAAATTATTTAAAAATCAGTTTTGCTGTAATTTACAATTTTATAAAAATTATGGCTGCCTATGTTTCGAGAAAGAAAAATATACGCTCTTACTTGACGCTACTAAGATCTAGAAAGAAAGTAGAGTTGCTTAGCATATTAGAACTCAATCAAGTGCAAGCCAAACTAATATCTTAACGACTTAAATTATCTACAATACCCTAAATATCAGTCGAAAATTATGTAGCTCTGTTTAGATATACAAATTCACACATTTTTATATCCAAACGCACATCTTAATATTTTGCGGTTATTGACTTGGATTTTGCGAATTTTTTTCTATCACAACAACCAATTGGCAACGCCTCTTTTATAAGCACTTAATGAGAACACGGCATAATACATACAATAGCAACACTTTAGTGGCACAAAACATAATAATTGTTACCAAGTTAATTGGGTTTATAAGCGATTTTGCTAAACAAGCGGCCGGAGAAGATGAAGTGATTGAAAAAGTAGCTGAAACCCATAATTAATGGGCAAAATATAAAATTATTCGACAAAGGCGAAAAGCAACAAGCGCGCAGCAGATGCGCCCCAAAGGCAATTTTGGTGGAAAAATTTGCAAATTTCATAAGCTTTTGCTAACAACAACCAGCGGTGGCAGCAGGTAGCCACTTTCTCTAACAATGAAAAAAATGCGACAGCTGTTGAACAGTGTAAGACAATGAAATCAACACCAGTGGTGACTGTGCGTTTGTGAGCGAGATGTCTAATTAATTTTTAAGATAACTGTAAGGAGAAGTGCTAAAAATAGAAGAGGGTGTGGTGTAGACCACACATTGCTAAAAATATTTACAGTTAAAGTGGTATGAGTTCATATTAAAAATATATCAAATTGACTAAAAAATTTAAATAAATAAAAAATTTTTTTCTTATAATTTTTTTAAAAATTTACAATTTATTTTTTTATTTTTCATTTAACAAAAAGTTATGAAATTGAGTTGTAGTGACAGCAATTTGAACTGTAGCAATGTATGAATGTTCAACAGTTTATGCAATAGGTCAGATTTTCTTAAAAAAATATATATAAATTTTTGATATTTGAGCAACATTTTTAAAATAAAGTTGCCACCTTATTGAAAAATAAATATATATTATATATATATATATATATATATTAATTAATATAAATTACATTTTTTGTAAATACTTAAAACAAAGGGTTGCCATTTATTGCGGATAATATTTGAATAATAATTTTTTAAAACAGTTTGGTTTTCAGAAGTAACTCGTTTTTAATAAAGCAACATTTTTCAAAGTAGAGTTGCCACCATATGTTAATAAAATATTTATTTATTTAAAAATTATATAGTGAATTTGCGACCAAGAAAATTATTAATATAAGTTGCATTTTTTGTAAACATTTAAGACATAGTGTTGCCATTTGTTCAGAATCATATTTGAATAGTAATTTTGGTTAATTGTGGTGACAACAATTTTGTGCTTCTTAAACTTTTTTTAGCAACATTTTAAAATAGGGTTGCCACTATATTGGATAATAAAATATTTAGTTAATTTACTAAAGATTTACTAATAAGAGAATTAATGACATGAATAACTTTAATCGTAACAATGCGCTTAAAAAAATTGTGTTGCCATTTATAGAAGATTGTATTTTAAGAATAATTTTGTCAAATTGTATTGTTCTGGTGTCTGCTGCAAGTAAAAATACTTTCGAATTAAATGACCTACTAGTTGATAATTTAAAGGTAAAGAATGCCAATAATAATTAAATGTGAAACTTTAGTTTTTTATAGAGTTGCCAGATTATAAAAAAAATTACATATATCTATAAAAAATTGGAAAAAGTTTTCCATAATAAAAGTATGTACTTTTGCATTCTTTAAATAACAATATTAGAGGTATTTCGTTATAGAGTTGCCGGATGTCAAAAAATGTAATGTAAAAAATATTACAAAAAATGTGCCGAAAATTTAAAAATTATTCGTGTTTAGAATTAATATTTAGACAAATTTTGGGTTGGAGTTGCCACCTATCGAGCTATTTAGAAGTGATAGAAATCTAACATAATGTGTGAAAAATCTAAGATGATGAAAAAAATCTATCAGAAAGTATAGAAAAGGTTACAATTTTTGACAAAGTTTATAATTTATAATTTAGAATCAACTTTTACTTATTATTATATTTCAGGAATATTTTCAGGAAACATACTCTTTATTTTGAGGCTTAAGACCCCAGCTAGTTCAGGTCCCAACTGTAAACGTTTATAGGCAACAACAAATGATTTAATGCTCCAAAATGAATATCGAAAATCCCCCTAAATTAAAATTTAACCTTATGCCTGCTGAGTACAGTCCATCAAACAAAAGACTGAAGCAGCGAACTTGCTCGATCAACCGAAGATCACGCAATGGAAACAAAACAATTAAAAAATCAAAAATTTAAATGAATTAAAAACAAAAAATTAAAAAATAGAAATACATTTACTTTATTTTAGCAATTTATTATTTAAAATTTTGTATGAAATTAAAATTTTCCACTTAATTACAATTCGATGCGCTAAACAGTTCATTAACTCGCGTGTTGCTACACACACGACACACACACAACTGTCAACTGTCAGCGGCGCTGTAAAAACACTGCACTCTTCATTTAAGCAATTAATTTTACTAATTGCGTGTTCCGCTTAGGCCGCAACATTAATTTTTATTGTCAATTCTCTTTTGACGCTGCCATAAACACGCTTCCTCGCAATCCAGTACACTCCTTGCAACACGGCTTGCGCATTTGTTTCTGATTTTATATTTTATATGCTGTATGTGCTTTTTGTTTTTGTATTTATTTCACTCACTTCTGTGTTGTCACCTCGTCTGTCATTTTATTGGCATCCATTAACACTCACTCCTCACTATTGCCAGCGGCAGCTACTAGGCACCAAGCCCGCCATCGGCTCCGACTGCCCACCTTTGCTTTTGTGTTTCTTCGCTTCTTCCTCATCTCTGCAGCCATTTTGTCACACTTCTGTGCCACTTGGCTGTTGCATTGCGTTTTACAAAGCGCGTTGTCCCCCAGCCACAGACTGCTCCTTTTGTTTCAGCGCTGCACTCTGCCGATGCGACGCGGGCACTTCCTCGCTTTTGCCGAAAGGTGTGAGACGCGCTTGTCTACTCATTATATTTCCAAACGGCCACACATTTCCTCTGTCGCTTGTGCCTGTTATTCCATTATATATTCCACTTTTGTTATACAATCATTTTTTTTTCTTATTGTTGTTGCGTCTTTGGCCAATCACTTTTATTTTAACTAATTAAACCTCGCCTTAGAACTTTCATTTTGCTGATTATTTAGCTTTGCTGCGACGACAAAAGTGCAATCGAACACGCCAACTGGCTGAGCTTGCGAGCTAGCTGTCTAGCCAGCTGTCTTCGGTTACACGTTTGAACTGCATGCGTGCGGTAAATTGAGTAAAAGAAAAGTGATTTGTCGCTAGTTTTTATTCGAAGTTGGTTTGTCGAGGGAGTTGCTCATACTTATATTTATGACAATAGACAGTATGGGAGAGATTTGTCATGAAGTTGATAAATATGGATATTGAGCAGATGCTAGCTGTCGTGTCGCTTCTGTAAGGAATTGCGGCACATTCAAACCTTGTGTTCTATACAGACGCTACCGATTGGACTTAGGGCGGATCCATTCTTTTTTCCTTTTTGGTCATACTCCAAAATTCCATAACACATCGATATTGTTTAGTACCGTTAGATCGATTGTGGAGCTGAATTCTATCCACAGTAAGTCCTCATGTCTAATTTTTTATTAATGTTAGACAGGTAGATATTGTTCTGGCTTGTTAACTCTTAAGAAAAAGATTGTAAAGTGTTGAAGAGATGGAAATTATGATAAAGTTGCAATCTTTATTAAATATATGAGAAAGTATTAGCTGCTTTATACCCGAAAGTACCACCAAAATTTTTGAAAGCTCCATAAATGATTGAGTAGAAAATTGAGAACTTTTCTCCAAATATATATATAAGGGAGTTTCAGGAGGTGGCCAGTTAGAACTTAGATCAGATTCTCGAGCTACAGCATGGTTAACTTTAGAATTGTGAGCAAGGATTCCTCATTCAATTTATTGGACCAGATGATTAAATTTTGTAACCAAATCGAAGAAGGAATGTTTGGTGACCTTTTTTTCCATTTAAGATAAACTTGCTTCCCGTCATCACATTCTAATTTCTTAAGAAGTTTACTGAAATTTGATAATTCGCTTATCAAAAATTTCATTAACGCATCCTTCTTCTTCTCATGTAATTTAAATTCCATACATAATTTAAATGGCATGCCATAACTCACACCACTTTATAGCTGTACTCAGATATAACAGTATGTGTATGTGTGTGTATGCTTCGCGCACTGATAGTGAAAGTTTGCAACATCAAAACTTGATGCTGATTTTATACAATTGTTGTTTCCATTATCATGGTTGCTGTTGTTATTGTTTCTGCTGCTTTTATTGTAGCAGGAAGTTGCAGACCTACTTATGCCAAAAGTTTGTTATTCGTTTCACGAATTCCATAGTCGGGTATGAGTTGTTGTTGCACACTTTTTGATGTTGCACGACAGACAGCCAAAGTCAAATGGCTGTATGTGTGTGTATGTTGGAGGTGTTTTCCGCGCAATTGTTGTTGCCGCTATGCGCCCGCTTATCAGTGTGGCAGACAAGTCTGAGACGTTTAATTGTCGTTTTAATGCTTTTGTTTGTCTGCAACTTTAAAGTTAAAAACTTTTCAAGTCACCTTGGAGCAAGTGAATCACAAATACAACAACAACACAAAGAATAATTGCGATAGCGTGCGTTTTAGTTGTTGCGCGGTATGCTTACTGAAATACTTATATAAAAAAGTTCATAGAAACACTTGCAACAAATTTTCAAACGATTTATTTGCGATTATTTGGCATATATAAATATTCAAAAAATATTTTATTTTCAATTAAAAATAGTTTAAGATATTTTATAATAATTATTATTAAATTTGCTAAATATTTATAAAATTGCTTAGTCTCAGTTTCCGATGAAGCTGAAGGTCTCATTGCAGCGTATCTCATAGCAATCGGGGAATGAGGTGAAATGGCGCGATAAACGCAGATCGAAAATGAATTCGCAGTAAGGAAAGCTGAAAAATAAAAGTTTTTTATTAAATAATATAATATACATAAATAAATCAAAATTATCAATAAATAATGTATGCAAAAAGATTTTAAAATAATGAAACTAAAATATTTACTATCGATAATTTAACGCAAGCGCATTAGGAGTTTAAATTATATTTTTGTGGAAGTAAATCAACCAAAATACTTTTTGGATATATACAAAATAAAGAATATCTATAAAAAAAGTTATCGAAAATAATCGATATTAAATTACCATAGAACATATTACATTTTGTGTTAAGTAGTAGCTAAAAATATTTTTTTATTAAATAAAATGTATAAGAATATTGCATGTATCGATATATTTTGGATATTAAACAATTTTAAAAGTATGCAATTAAAATGTGCTGATTAGTTATTAATGAAGTAATTACATAAAAACGAAGAAAAATAATAAAATTATCTGAAGAAAAACAAAATTGGTTATCGATACATTATCGCAATCGGACTTAGAGTTTTAATTATGTATTTTTGGAGAAGTGCAGCAGCCGAATGAATTTTTTGATTAATAAAAATTAGTGATAACTGATAAAAAAAGTTATCGGGAGTAATCGTTATTAAATTACTATGAAATAAAATAAAAAGTTTTTGGTTAAATAAAACCATAATTTATGAACATGGCATAAAATTATATAATCGTATTAAATGTAATTAATAAAAGAAATAAATAAATATTCAACTTTTATTAAGAATTAAACAAATAAATAAACAATTATACTTTTGTGAAAGAAAATTTTTTGAACAATATCAAATGGCTGCTAAATTTGGCAAATCAACTCGCATTTGACCAAAAAGTATGTCTTAAAAAATTGTGATAAGCCGATAACAAATAAAGAAAAAACCTTTAGTTAAATGTCATACTAAATATATGTATGTTAATCCAGACTCTATTCAAAATAATTAAATTATTTTTATACTAATTTATTTAGCTTCACACCTTCTTCTGTGGTACTTACACTGGTGGAAACCACAGCATGCAACGGTATGTGCACAGTATGCCAATGGGACGTTTAAACTCGCCATCTGGCGTTTGTATGGAACCGGAATTGTGCTTCCGCCAGCACTGAGCACTCCAGCCTGTGTTATAATACAATTAACAATTAGAAGGCAAAACATTGAGTTATATGCAAGTAAGTAAGTTCGCCGTTATTATGCTATATTTTAAAGTACAAATTACCTAAATATTAAGAAACAGTATTTTTATAAATTTTATTTAAGTAAAGCAAAGTTATGTACTTTTAAGATTTTGTTATAATGTTCACATTTTTTTTAATAATTAGATTTATTTCAAATTTTGATTTTAATTTCTATTTTAAATTTAATTAGTTTCATTAATTTAATTTCTAATTAAATTTAATTAATATCATAATTTTTTGTTATATTTATTTTAAGAATCAAACTTAAATTTAAATTTATATTTGAGTAGTAAGTTTTTAATTAATTTTAAATTTTTTTAGTAATTCATTAATTCGTTCTTCAGATTTTATGTAATTGAGAATAACTATACATATTTTTAGCGGTTCTAAGTATATAAATAATTTAAGGTTTGTTTCATTTTGCTTAGAAAAAGGTTTAAAAAAATTGTAATGTTAATTATTTTTTTAAATAAAATTTTTTAAATTACTTTAATTTACATTTTGTTTAATAAATTTAATTTAATTTTAAAAATTAATTTAGTTTTAATTATTATTTAAGTTAAATAATGACATTTAATATTAATTACATTTTGGTTTAAATTAAAATTTTTTTATTTAATTTAAATTGCATTATTTTAATAATATTTTAATATTACATTTTTATTTTAGTTTAATTTAAATTATATTATTTTTTTCAATTGATTTTAGTTATAATTTTAGTTTTTATTATCACATCTACTTAACCATTTCACATCACCATTACCTACCCGCTTCTATGGCCTCCATAAAAATGCATAAAATTAATATTATCACACCGAGTAAATACACACATCTACGTATTTTTTCCATAATTTCACGTTAAATTCGAATTTCGAAATAAGCAAAGAAAGGAAAACATCTTTTTCTTGAAAAATTGAGAAATTTATTATTTTGATTGGAATTGCTAACAACAAATGGATAATATTTTCAAGCACATACACCTTCTCTCCGTCGTAGTACACGGTTATAGCAAGACTAAATGAATATCCGACTTGTCTAACGTTCGCAAAATTTGACTGAATCTCAAGTCATCTGTAGCAAAGATTGTTTTCCTTGTTAATTTTTGATATCTTTACAAGTTTACTTCAGTGGCAATTGTGTACAATTGATAAATTGGGCACTTCGTTTAGCATTAATGGAAATCACACAGCAGGCCGTGAGATGTTAGGCTGAGGCGGTGAGGTTGACATATACATTTATGGTACACATAGGAATGTAGGCTCGGTATCATATGATCATTAAGCGCATACCGAGGCTATTGATAGCAGTATACTTGACATCTTTATCTGATTATTTCATTGCTTTGTTGGTCAATTGCGCTTTTGCAAAATATTGTAAAACGAATACGGTATCTAAATATTTGCTTGTAACTTATGTGAGGTTGTTTACTCAAGTGAACACTAATTCAAGACGACAAATTTGTTTATAAAATTTTCGAGGTAAACAAAATTTTAAGTTGTTGTAAACTCAACAAAAATTTAAAAAAATGTTAATATGTGCTTTAAAATATATTTTGAAACTAAATAAGGGATCTACGAAACTATGTAAAGGTATATAAAAATCAATCAAAAATCAAAACAATCATCGAGGGACCGAGTTACATTCCATCCTCATTAATTTTTTAGATCTTGTACAAGTGGATGGTAACCACAGAACTTTAAATCATTCTGTTGGAAAACCTTTTTAATCCACGCAATTATTCTAGTAGCTTAAGAAAGTACTTGAACCTGTAAGAATATAGTCTACTGTTTTTCAGAAGTTGAGAAGACTTCCAACGAAAACAGCCAAACATTACCTTCCATTGAAGTCAAATTATACAAAGGTAGGTAAAGGAACTTCAAAACATTCCGAATAGATAGTTTCGAAAGTCTCTTGTTGGCAAGATCAGCCATAAAGTTGTGTCCACGGCTACTCGTGGGTAGGTAACTGCTATTCCATGCGGTGAATTTGTGTTTTGACTGAGTTTTTCCAAGTTATACCGATCCGACAGCTTATCAAACTAGAGTTACTGTAAAACCATCTACTTGCAGTCCACAGTTATGTTAAAATTCAGGAAGAACAATCGTTCTTAATAAGTGAACCTAAACAGATGTAGAAAATTTACAGCTTAAGCTGTTTATCCAATTTAAATCTCGACCAACAAGGGTATATCTTTATTCTAAAAAGCTTAGAGATACCAAAGGAGTCGAAATATGTTCAGATTTGGTGTATATCAGACAGATCCTTAGATAGTATTTAGAACCCTTTCCACAGTGGCTGCACCACAAGTTCTTGCATATAGTAATTCCACAGGGCTCGTCTTCGACACTAACGAATTTAATTTAGCGACTTTTGATGATACAACTCGTATAAAATTCGACTGTGCTTACTTTGAGCTGAGTTTTCTGTGTTAACTGTTGCGAGGATATTATAGACATTGGGTATTCTGTCGCAACAGTTCCCTATCATAGGAATCCCTGGTAATAAAACTAGACATTACTATAGAAACCAAAAATATGCTCAGAATTTCGATAAGAAAAGGTCAGGTAGAAACCTGCCGAGTTTAGGTTCAAAAGTTTTTAAAACTCAGTGTTCATCTTCCTTAAAAGATCACTTTTTTGTAGGAATATAGCCTCAACACTAGCCTATCTTTGTCATTATCTGTTGATCGCATAAAAATCTGAGTTCACTCTGGTCCATAAATACCAATCAAAGCCATGAAATCACATAATCTAAAAAAAGAAGAAGCAGAAGCCAAAAGCTGCTCGGACACTTTGAGCTGCTCCCAGATTGGCTTCAAGGCACGCACCAGCGAATATGTCAAATGGTAGCTAGACACCGAATGACAACAACAAACAAACTATCCTTTACCAATGTTATTTAGTTGTAGTTGCAACATTTGTGGCGGCTGCGTGTCGAATTTAACTGACGTGGCGCCCAACGTTGCCAAGCGGCGGCCCCCAAGCGGATTGCGCATAAACGACCGTCACAGGGAATGTGCGTGGCGTTGCATTTAGACACAGACACAGTGCGCACAACCAAGCCGTGTACGAGTTGAGAAATTAGTTGTTGCAACATTTGAAGATGTTGCTTGCTACGCGGTGAACGGTGGCAAGCAGCCAGTCAGCCGGCGAATGTAATCGACAGCAGTTGGCAGCAGCGCCGCAAGCACTTGTTCAACTGTCATGTACGATGCGGTGTTGCAAGCCAACGAGCAACGACCACGGCGAGTGATCAATAATAGACTTGCAACAATAAGAAAAACAAGAAAAGGACTTGAAAGCGATGGAAAGTTGCAAGTGGCAGCAACAGAGTACCGCATGGCACTTCAAATGGATGTCCAAAAAGTTGCCGATACTGCTTTATATGTGCTGCGATATTGTGTTGCATGCAACAAATGTACACAAATTCAGCGGCATGTACCGCTCCTAAAGGCGGCAGCGCGTTGGCTACTGCCGTTGCAATTACTATTGTCCACAACATGCCTACATATATAGCAGCAATTGCAACAACAACAACAACGGCAACGGCAACAAAATGTTCGCAAGCAATCGAATGACGCTAATTAGTAAATTAGACTTTGTTGATTGCTACAGCGACAGCGACAGCGCTGCGCATTGTTGTTGGCGTCTTCGTCGTCGGTGGTTTGTCGTCTTCATTCTTGGCCGACGCCAACCCAACTAGCAGCAATAACAACAACCATAAGAACTATGTGGCGCATTGCGCTTTGAACAATGATGTATGGTGGCAGCTAACATGGCGGCGCGGCTTTCAAGCGCACTACGATTACGATCGGTGCGCCGACGACGACGGCAACGTGGATGGCAACAACAACAGCAATAACAACGAAGCGTCGATATCGGTAGCAGCGGCAGCGCTCGTTCTCATACGATCTATTGATCGTATCAATCGTGTTGCTGCCAACATCGCCATCACCGCCACCACCAACGCCGCTGTGCCGTCGCGCCGCTGCACTTTCATCGCTGCGCCCCTTTGTAAGTGTATGTGTGTGAGCGCAGCTTAATTTGTATTTGTTAGGCGCAATCGCAATTAATTTTGCTGCTACTCTACGCTTTGTGGCATGCCGCTAGCCGACACTAACCGCTTATGCCACACACACACACACACCTAACTGTGCCACAATGCGATAGCGAGCATCTAGTAGCGTTGCATAGACCCTTCTATACATGCACACATATGTATTTATGTAAATTTGATCGTAATCGTAATGCTTGTTCGCATTGGTGGCATCGCCATATCAATTGTTCGGGCGAAAATTGCTGTCAGCGCATTGCTGCTAAATTGTTGTTGCCGCCACTAAATTGATTTCGCTATTGCTGTTTGTGTGTGTGTGTTGTTTTTTTGTTTTTGTTGCATGTTGCTTGTTGTATTTGGCCGCTGCGGCATCTTGCAAGTGATTGAGCGCTTACAACGGGCATATTTTTATTTATTGCTTGTAAAGCAAGTGATTCCAATGAATTCACAGCCCAATTTTATTGCTTGTATATGTCTATTGTGTATTCGTACAACAGCAATAGCAATAACAACAACTTCATTCGAAATACAATAGTGATTGATTTATTGGGAATGTATGAGCATTTGTTGTAAGCAAAACAGTTCACAAGCGTGTTTTTGGGTAGCGGAAACAATCGCAACACCATTAGATGCGGAAAAGTCCCTAGATACACAAATAAACTGTAGCCTAGTGCATTTTGGTAATCCTGAAGAATAATGCATGATTTGCTCTTACTGTCGTGACGCCAAAAGCAGCTTAAAACGAAGTCGTACGGGACCTTAGTAAGTCTAATTTAACCAATCTGGCCATGGCGACGCCAAAGTTGTAAGTCGTTGCGTTTTTATGATGACAGAGCAGTTTCTTCTTCACCAAATGACACGATTATTCTGCACTTCGTGTCGAGTCACACCAATTGTTTCTACATATAAGAGTACTTTAATCGTTTTGCAACCGTGTTCACCTTCTTCGGAGCAGGTTCGACGAGTGAAGTACACTCTTTCGAGTATTCTTTGATCTCTGGTGTGGATCAGTGGCTCTAGGTAGGTAGGTAGGTAAAGTGGCTGTCATTCGACACACTTAGGCCTTTAGGAGGCCCATTGTGATACCACTGGGACTGTGATCCCCTCGCTCTATTGGCTCCTCTCTGAACCACCCCGTACTTCTGACGAACTTCATCAGTGAGACAAGTTTTATCTGTGCAACCTCCGAGACGTCGTCAAAAAACCCACGACCGATGGTTGCGATTCTTTTCCTATATAGTGCTGCGCAATCGCATAGAAAATGTTTAATGGTCTCCTCCTCTTCTACTTCCTGGCAGCTTCTACAACAGTCGTTATATGGCGCGCCAAGTCTACTTGCATGTCTGCCTATTAGACAGTGGCCTGTTAGTGGCTCTATGCTTCGTCGGCGCCCACGAGATGATGCAGAACTTCTTTTGGATTGCGCGTAAATTGCGATCAATATTGCTGTGAAGTGTTCTCTCAGTAGGTCTAGTTGTCCGTGGCGAACAAACTCAGCCCGCATTGCGCTGACAGCTTTCTCATGCCCAATATTTTGTGCAAGATATGACACACATGGTCTTTTGAGATCCATACTCTTCAAGTAATCAGCGATTTCGTGGTCACATTTTGTCATTTATTCCTCTACAGTAGTCGTTAAACGATTTTTTGGCGATCGCCATCAAAGGAGAACGTTCGCCATATCCATCCAAGCGCATTTCAAATACATCTGTGCAATCATCAATTAATAGTGCTCTGTTCTTATTTTTCTAAAATCCATGGATACATCCGCTTCCGTGCGAAAAGTTTGTATGACGATTTTTACCATGAAAAAACAATTTAGAACCAGTTTGTTTAGAAATTTGTGTTACCAATGGATTCACGGTTTCGGAATTGCTGAAAATTTTGTGTTTGTGTTTTGCTTGCCTAATGCGAGTCGTCCAACCATCTCTGTTAATAACTATAACATCGAAACAGTGCTTGGAATATCGTCGTGTTGGCATCACAAAGAGCGCAGAGGTTCTCAACATCTCTTAATGATCGGCCCAACACATTTTGGCTAATGTTTTGCGTATGAAACTTGTCAACGATAAACTCGTACCAAAAGACCTGAATCTTTTGCA